GTCTATCTATGCTAGAAAGGACGAGGTAGAAAGACTTCAAATAAGAAATTATCAATAATTTGATTCTATCATGGATGCCTAATTATTTTTGAAAAGTGAATAAAGGACTATGATGCTGACAGGAGCTTCAGTATACAAAAAGTCCTATCGTTCTACTGAACTTAAAAAAAAAGTTCGCCAAGCTTGTAACAAACAAAAATCCTCCTTGTCATTCTACCGAGCTTCTAAAAAAAGTTCCCAGCTTATATATTTTTGTACAAACCATGTCCCTTCTAAAGATATGTACTCATTTGACAGTATATATATAACATACTCTATAATTTCGCCAAAACACTCAAATTAAAATTGTAATTAGGAAATAGAAATAAAACATGTAAGTAGCGATGCTACCAATAAAAAAATTTGTACACCTGACTCGAAAAAATTGTTAAGAAAAGAAAAAAAAATAAAGACAAGAGAAAAATAGAAAAAAAAAACAAAAAAAAAACAAAAAAAAATAAACAAAACATTTAATATAATTTGTAAAATAATAAAGTTTGTTATATGATATTTTTATTTGTTCACCTGACAATTGACTGGCCTGTTGGTTTATATCCAGTGCCACTAACTTAGTTAAAAAAAAAAAAAAAAAATATGTACTGTAAAAATAGAAGACATTTTAAGCTTTAAAAAGTCACAAGGGACATTTTGCTTCAAAAAAGGACAGGCGGCAACTCTAACAGTGATGTTAAGATCATTGTTTCAATCTGACATAATGGCAAATACAACAAAAAAAGAAAATCAAAATAGGTTAAGTTAATGTAAGTATGATCATTTGTGATATTAAACTATTATTAAATATGAAATTGATATTCTAGGAATAATTGAACCTGCTTAACTGATAAAACCCTAAGTATGTTAAAGTTGTATTATTGTCTTATTTGACACATATTCTAAATTGTGAAATTAAATGCTATTTTCCAATAAACTGGAGAATTGCTTGTGTAGTTCCGTTTCCAAAAGTGCAAACACTGAAAGAAATTTCTGAACTGAAATCAATAAGTAAACTCTCCACATTCTCAGATTTTTAAAAAAATTATATATTTTCACATGGTAAAGTTTCTGTGTATTAATAATTTTTTGCAGAAAATCAATCTGGCTTTAGAGTTGGACATAGCGTAGTTACTGCCTTAACCAATATATTAACAACCTTGGTTTTATCAGACTTCAGTAAGGCTTTTGATACCCTGGGTAGAGAACTTCTGGTAGCTAAGCTTCATTATTATGGATTTTTCAGATTGAAGTGTAAAGTTGTTAGATGCTGAATCATCAGTAAGATTTCAATGAATCCAGAACTCTTGAAAATTCATAACCAAGTTATTAGAAATACATGTATACTTGTTATACCCAAACACAGAACAGCTCTAAATAAGAGATCACTCTCATGTAATACTGTTAAAATTTATAATTCACTTCTGCATAACCAAATATATAGGCTGGCTGATGAGCTAAGCCCAGCTAGCACCGGACGTCGTTTCACGTCATAATCACGTTGAATTTTGGTCAAATACGTCGATGTGATTTTTTGACGCAAAAGTAACGTAATAATGACGTCATTTTCGGACCAATTTGACACGTAAACACAGTTGTTGCGAACAAAATACACCTATTTATGTCATAAATGCAATTCGAGTTTTTGTTATTCATTATTAGATAAATAGAAGGTAATTTATACAACATCGTTTATTTTGCGGTCATTATGACACCAAAATAAGACGTACTATGACGTTATTTAGGGACTAATTTGTCACGTTCTGAAATGAGGCGTTAAACTGCGCACGTGTACACGTCGATTCTATACCTTTATTGTTTTACATTCTATTTATTAATAAAAGTATCTTTAGTGTTTATAATAAATTTATAATTCTCATTTTAAATCTAGGGATTTTTGGGAATTTTCATTTTTAAATGAAATTTTATGTCAACACTGTTTAGAAATGTCAGCTGTCATGTCATTTTCCAAGGTTAGCGGTTCACGCCATTTTGTGTTATTTTTGTAACTTGTTTGGATTTGGAACATTCTTTTATTGTATGTGTTTTGAAGGTAAGTAGTTAGGAAGTTTAGTGCGATATTATTGTTTATTTTTATTTTTTTTTTAGGAATTCAATACGCCGACAAGCACGGCACCGGAGTATTATTAAACCACTTTAAGTTCTAAGTGGCCGACATCCTGGGAAATGAGGTTCTTATAAACAACAATAATCTTTTAACAAGAGCTTAAAAAAGGAAAAATTGGACTCTTTCCTATTTATAGAACATATTTTACCGAAGGTGAGGGATTTTTTATATTGTAAAGGTGCCTGTAGCTAGCCTAATTTTGTTTTAACTATTAACGTAGACATTAATATAAACAAAAATTTAAGGATTTTAAAACAAAACCGTTCATAAAGATAATTTAAACATACACATTCCTAAGATTTGAGCATTAAAGTTGATTTTTATTTATCTTTACTATGTTAATGTTGATGCCTATGTTATTCTCTATAAACAGGTACATTGAAATAAATTGATAACTTTTATGTTGAAACTAAATCAGGCTGACTAAACTCACCTTTAGACAATTAAAACACTGGTCTATGTATTATTACTAAAACCTTTCCCTTTATGTACTGTGGTTTTAATTACATTGTTTTATGAAATTATTTTGCATTATACCTTGATATTATATTTTTTGAATTTTTGTTGGTAACTGAGACCTATTATAGTTATAGTATTTCTTAAACCATCTCTGTGAGCCGTTTTATTTATTTAAAAAAGTATAGTGTATAAAATTATTAATCTGTTTTAGAGAATTACCAAATAGCTAGCCAAAAAGCAACAAAGGTTCTTATGACATAGGATATAACAAGTGATGATGAGTTACAACCTCTTCCTTGTAAAAGAAAGCCATTAAGAAGAATATTTTCAAGTGAAGCTGATGAATTCGTTATTGATGACGAACCTATTGGTAGGTAAGCACTGCTTTGTCGAGCAAAACTTATTTTTTATTATGAGTAAAATTCATACTTTTGTGACAATGTTATAAGTACATTTCTTTTATTCCGAACAACATTTTTTTCTTCAAATGTCAATAATTATTTTTCACAATTATTAAAAATCTCACCTTTACATTCAAAAGAGCTTGGGGGTAAAATAATTTTTCCTCTTATTAATATATACCTTGTAAAAATAATAACATTTCTTAATTTCATTAATTATAAAAAAGTCAGGTTAACCTGGTTTAAAATTCACAATTTTACATCACTTTAAAACTTAGCATCATAAAATTATTATTAAAATATTAGGTTTTTGACCCATGAAGAAATACTAAATTTTGTGTTAGCTAGGAGCATCTAGTACTCTTTAGCCAGGCGCATATTAAATTTTTTCATTGATTTCTCTTGACAGATCTGATTTTATTTATCTTGTTAAATTTGTGAACTTTTGTGACAGCTTAATGATATAAAACAATTTCTGTCTTTCTCGGTCAATGCTAACTCTATTTTTTGGCTCAAATTTTATTTAAATAATTAAGTTTCTGGTAGTTATAACTATTATATTTTTGTTTTAGTGAAACGAAAATTTAATAAGGATACCATTGAAGCTGCTTCAAGCCTGTATATTCGGAATGATTTGTTGAATATCTGGACACTGCTATATAATCTTTTCTAATTTATACATTCTAAGTACATATTCTAAGAAGTAATGTTTATTTAGTAATAGTTCAGGTTAGTATACTATGTGTCAATTCAGAAATTTTATGCAGTAACCTATCTTTTTTTATATAAAACATATTTTTGTTAAACATTTTTTAAATAAAAAGTTTTTTATAAACATTTTTTTACAAATTAAACATTTTTAAATGAATATTATGGTGTTTTTTTGACGTCTAAACACGTTATCTGGTGAAATAGAGAAATTTTACAAAGATAATGCAGCTTTTAGAAGAAAACGAAAAGGACTTAAAAACAGAGTGGATGAACTAGAAATTAAGTTATAATTCTGTAATCACGTAATGTTATCATTTTTAATTTTACTGTTGGAAGCACATCCAAGCAAGATATCTCCCTGTATCTGTAACATGTGGAGGGTGGGTTACCCCACCGCACTTAGGCCCATTGTGTAAGAGGTCGAAAAAATACTCAACAAAATTTATACAGGAATTGATGTAAGTGAATACTCTGTACAACTATTAACAAGCAAAGAAACAGGAAAACCGGTGTCATTAAAATTCAAGGAAGAATCTGTCAGAGATAAGAAAGAACAAAAAATTAAGTACATTAGATTGTGAAATTGATGGAGAGAATAAACCAATTTATATAAATAAGGACTTGCAAAAAAGTATCAGGCTGTTATTCAATAAAGCTAAGAGTCTTAAAAATCATGGTTACAAGTTTATTTGGTGTGAAGATGGGTCTATCTATGCTAGAAAGGACGAGGTAGAAAGACTTCAAATAAGAAATTATCAATAATTTGATTCTATCATGGATGCCTAATTATTTTTGAAAAGTGAATAAAGGACTATGATGCTGACAGGAGCTTCAGTATACAAAAAGTCCTATCGTTCTACTGAACTTAAAAAAAAAGTTCGCCAAGCTTGTAACAAACAAAAATCCTCCTTGTCATTCTACCGAGCTTCTAAAAAAAGTTCCCAGCTTATATATTTTTGTACAAACCATGTCCCTTCTAAAGATATGTACTCATTTGACAGTATATATAACATACTCTATAATTTCGTCAAAACACTCAAATTAAAATTGTAATTAGGAAATAGAAATAAAACATGTAAGTAGCGATGCTACCAATAAAAAAATTTGTACACCTGACTCGAAAAAATTGTTAAGAAAAGAAAAAAAAATAAAGACAAGAGAAAAATAGAAAAAAAAAACAAAAAAAAATAAACAAAACATTTAATATAATTTGTAAATACTGTAAAAATAGAAGACATTTTAAGCTTTAAAAAGTCACAAGGGACATTTTGCTTCAAAAAAGGACAGGCGGCAACTCTAACAGTGATGTTAAGATCATTGTTTCAATCTGACATAATGGCAAATACAACAAAAAAAGAAAATCAAAATAGGTTAAGTTAATGTAAGTATGATCATTTGTAGCTTATTTTCTAAACTTTGCTTCCAATTTTTTGAATAACTTCCCAGATGCAAGCCTTTGTTCTTCAATGTAGGCATCAATGACCGAGTGGCATAATTGTGAATGCAATATGTAGTATTCTCTGAGTGTTATCTGATCCATGGGTTGTTGTAGTTTGGCAAATGAACATTTTGGTGCATGTCGTAAATGTTCCTTCCAAGGATTATCGTTTGGCTCCCAACGATCTAAATTTGTATTGCAGAAGAAACATTTAACTGAATCAGGTTCGTTTTTGCTTCCTATGAAAATAAACCCTGCTTCTGCCATCTGAAATATAATTTGATTTTATAATAGTTTCCAGCCATAATATATTAGGGATGAGATTTTATTTCTTTGGTTTATATGGGCTTAATCCGTCAGGATTATTTACCCAGGTTTTTTTTTTGTAGGATCAAATTTCATGAAAAAGCTGCACCCTCCTGTGTGACCATAGTCATCACTTTTCCACTACACTAGATTTTAATTTAACTAAAATATCTTTTTAGAACTTGACCAAAGGATACACCAAATTAGTAAGAATTTAAAAGTAGAATGGTCACTTTGAAACTTGGTATTTTGTGAAAACTGGACTCCAAATTCCGATACAACCATTTCTGTGTCAGAATCGGAAGTCATTTACTTACTTTTTCTACATTGCATGGATATTTCTTGCTAAAAATCCAAGTTTTAAAAGTTGCTAGTCGTTCTTTATGGGAAAAATATTTCAGCGATTCTTTTAAAGCCTAGAAAAACTATTTTATTATTCAAACCCTAAAATATATTTCATCTTATTTCGTACTTTATTTAAATTCGATTCCATAGTTTGAAATCTGCGGTTTGATTGGAATTAAAATATTTCTTCTTTATTTGAAATGAAACTGTTTAAGGCCAAGTTCAATTTTGTTTGACATATCATCACGATTTTTTTTAGGTTAAAAAATTGCATTATCGATTTTTTTCATTCGAAGTAATAAAAGACGTCACTTTAAATTTCTATCTCTTTATGTCAACAAATTTCTAACACGATGATTTTATAAAACGTATGTCACTAATGAATATGTGGCGGCAACTGACGGCAACTCTGTCAGCTACTCCATGGCTACTAGAGTACATACAGGTCCGGTATAAGCCATGGAAAATAATAATTTAATGTTTTGATCGAGTTAAATAAAATATCAAAATTAAATGTTTATTTTTAAGTAAACGATATTTCTAAATGTATACGTCTTCAATCAAAAATAATATAGGCAATACTCAAGTGTATTATACGAGTGTACTGGACAAGAGATAATTTTACCCTTTACTCCAGTTTTTTGTAATGAAACCAGCGGTAAAATAGATATTTGTGTGCCAAGGCTGTGTTTTGGCCGAATTAGACATATGCGTTCAAGTCTAAGCTAGTTCTGGTTAAGTATAAGAGTAATAGGCAAGAAACGGGTGTTCAATCAAACTTGACATCGAGATAGATGTCACATAAGCAGTTGTACTGAAGATGAACTTTGCAGGACCAAGCATCAGATAGGTATAACACTTGATATTCTGAAAACTATGTGGATACTACACTGAATAAGAACGAATGGAAGTGTCAGAAGGAGGCTAAAGGCAAAAAATAGATGGAACAGAGCCTAATAGATAGATAAGTCATATTTTAGCCAGGAGAGAGTCGATGAGTGTTATATAGTTATTTATGAATGTATTTTTAATGTATAATTTCAGTTTATTTTCATTTTTGGTATAAAACTATGGCTGACATAATAAAACTCTTAAAAGTATATATATTTTCAATCTTTATTACTATACATTATTTAGTATTCATTTATTCTCTCTGACCTAAGGAAAAGGTCAGAAAACCCTGGTCATAATTGTTTACAATGTTGCGTGTTCCTAATGATACAAAACATTACAGAGGAATGATACTTAGCCGATGAAATCTCATCGAGTTCACGCATGACATATTGTGGTATAAAATATGGCTATCTCTGATGCATCTGCAGATTTAAATTTATTTTTGCGTACTGTTGTCTATCAACTGATACCCCAAATTTATACAAGCCACGTCTTCGCACCACAATGTGACATAGCATCAAATCTGCTTAATCTCGTACCATTTTTTTAAAGTATCAAGGATATTCTTGGTGTAGCTGATCATCATGTTTCGAGTCACTGAACCTAAAAAATAACAAATATCAATAAATAGAATTCGGAATTTATTCCAAAAATATTTTTCTTTAGGAATTATATAGGATTTCTCGTTAATATACTGACAAACTTTTAAAGGTGGTAGGTGCATCAAAATAAACATTTTTTTGCTTAATAAAATAAAAATAATTTTATTGCCCAACAAATTAATCCATTTACAGAACAAAATACATGAAATAAATGTTAAACATAATATTTCGACAGAAAATAATTTTAGCAACAGCAAGAAAAAAAAAGAAAAGAAAGAATCCTAAATACATTAGCTACAAATTAGTACAACTAATGGTCGAAATAAATATCCCAATCAGAACAAAATTAATTAAAATTTGAGCACATTAGCCTTATAGGTGAATTTCTTCCTAAGTTCGTTCAAATACTTGCTGTTATTATTAACTCATCTGCCGATTGTCCATACTTGTTATCCCAAATTGGATTTTCTGTGCCATCTAGAGTAACTAGGAATATTAATACATTCTCTCAACCTTTTCATAGAACAAATTATGGTTCTCACTCTTTTATTCCTAGAGCAACAAGATCTGCTAACAGACTAAATGTAGAATGGATTACTTCTCCATCAGATTTTTCTATCCATTTATGTATATGTGAGGAGTAATTTTTAATTGTTTTTAATATTTATGTATTTAAATTAATTTATTATTATTAATTAGGATTTTATTACTATTTAATGTATGTAATATGTATTATCTGTAATTGTATTGTTTTAATGGGCTCTGACCCGTAAATAAATAAATAAATAAATAAATAAATAAATACATTAGCTACAAATTAGTACAACTAATGGTCGAAATAAATATCCCAATCAGAACAAAATTAATTAAAATTTGAGCACATTAGCCTTATAGGTGAATTTCTTCCCAAGTTCGTTCAAATACTTGCTGTATAAAATGTTTTATGATATCTAATGGCTGTTTGGGGAACATTAAAATTTATTTAATTTATCAAAAATAGTACATCAATAGTGTTATGTAATATTTTATAAAAAAATGTAACACTGGAAACTACCCTTCTATTTTCGAAAGAAGCAGAGATTCTTCAATACCTCGAATGGGATACAGCTCATCTATTTTAAAAGAAAGGTACTTGAGAGATCGCCGCTGAACATTTTCCAATGATCTTTTATCAATATTGTAAATAAGGTTCCAGATAAGAGATGCATATTCTAGCCTGGAACGAACTAAAGAAAAGTAAAGGATCTCCAAGCTTTAAGAGTTTGTAAAAGAACGAGTATTACGAATTAGGAACCCTAAGCTTTTCAACGCAGAAGCAACTGTATTTTCAATATAATCCGAAAAAGTAACTTTTTGGTTGAATAATATACCTTAATCTTCAATTTGTGCACAAGTCCGATAAATGTAGGCTGTTAAATAAATAATCAAACTCCACCTTGTTAATCAATCAATATATGTTTATTGTCAAAGCTACAAGAACTTATAGCTATATAATACTTCTAGTATAGGAACATACTTCATATTTAGACACATTCATTCAGCTTGTTTTCATTACACCAATTTTCAACGATTCCCAAGTTGGGTCTGTAAAAAGTAACAATCTTGAATTGATGAGATTGAGGTAAATATTTTTAAGTCAGCAGCGAACAGCAGGTTAAATTTATTGCCAAGTCATTTATAAATATACTAAATAATAGTGGTCCCAGATTGGAGCTCTGTGGAACTCCAGATGTTGCTGTGAGGGGTGAAGATGAAAATCCGTTGTAAAAGACATAATTAAAACGATGATTTAGGTAAGATGAAAATAATCTCAACAGCGACTGATCAAACCCTAAGCATTCCAACTTCCTTACAAGAATATTATGATTTTTAATTATTACAAAATACATTATGTATGTACAAAAAATATTCTAAACATATTTTAACTAACAAGAGTTTTATTTTTAACTAGTTATATTCAAAAACAAATGTCATTTTTATAACTATGTTTAACAATAACCGATGAGTATACAACAAGGTTCACAGTTTAAACTAAGTCTACATTTTAACTGCCTATTGTACAACCCGCCATATGTACAATTAAAAATTAATTGTATTTCTTTAAAATGCACCTTATTCTGTTGATCAAAACCATTCGATAAAAAAATTAAAAAATATTGGTATAAAGGTGGTTTTTATATCTATGCTATAAAGCATGCATTGGGGTAGCATGTAGATTATCTAAGTATCAGGTCAGAGAGATTAAAATTAAATAACATATGTAGTGGGATTCTCATCTTTTGAGTACGTCTCCTATCGAGACTCCTTATCTTTGTTCGACAGACAGCGATTTTGATGTAATGTCTCTCTATATTCTGTATATAATGTGTCGAGTTGGCACAAAAGAATCGCTGTTCTGATCAGAAGAAATTAACCACATCAAAGGAAGAAAATTAGGTCCCCTGTTATTTTTAATTTATATTAATGATTGTTAATGTTGCAATAATTAATATGACATTTACCTTTTTGCCTTTGATGTCCTTATCTATGTTTCTTGTAAGTTGTAAGGATTCAGATAACTAAGAGTTAATTGTCAATGAAACTCTGCAAAATGTTTATAAATGATGTTGCAATCATTTGTTAAAAATCAACACAAATACCTAAAACAAAATATAAGCTGATAAGTAATAACTATATGCAGTTTGTGGACAAACAATATAAGAAATTGGAAGAAAATCTATACAGTTAGTAGAAAAATTCAAATATTTAAGGGTAATTATTCGGAAACAGATGAAATTCACAGACCATATGCAAATACTGTTATCAAAACAATTACAGTTAAATTACATTTCCTATTTAGAATCATAGAATGTTATTAAAATAATTGTTATTACATTATTTTTTATTAAATTTGAATATTGTGATATTAGCAAACTAGCCAAATAAATAAAATAAAAACCGAAAACATACCTGGATCTACAATAATATATATAAATAATATAAGTACATTGCATCTTTTAAATTATTAAAGTCCATTAAATTGAAATGACACGTCAAACCATAAACGTCAAACATTCAAAACAAACATGCTTGTGTTCCAAACAGAAAATAGCATTTATAGAATAATTTCAGAGTTGCCAACTCGCAAAAATATTTATCCCTAAAGCATAAGTCATAAACCCCTAAAATCGTTCCAATTACTTGGAAATCCCCCTAAATTTTTTTTAAATAATTAATTACATGTTTTAATATTTTTTGAGGGGGTGGGTGGTCTCACAACGATAATTTTTAAACGGTTTTATTAGGAAACAGAAGAATCCAAAAACGAACTACATCTCTCTCCTATGACATTGACAATAATGACGTTGACATCTTTAGCATGACTAACATAAAATTTAAATATTCCCGCTGAACACATTTTTAATACTTGTTGTTATTCATAAATAAAAATAATAAATAATATACTGTTATACTTTTTATAAATTATTTAATACATCAAATAAAATTGTATTTGTGGCCTCGCTATTCGGCCGTAAACAACAATCACACATGACACATGACAATTATTGACACAATAGGCTCGTTTGGATTCTGTTTGGATTGTCCCAGGGCCTACTTTTACATTTTTATTTTTTGCAATAAAAAAAATAATAAATATTAAGAGTCAAAAATCCCTAAAAATACCCCT